TATTTCCGGAAAAAGAGCGTCTACATTGGCAGGATGCTTTTCCAGAAAAGCCCTTTTTCCGGAAAAGCGTCCGTGGCTAATGTAGACGCGCTTTTCCAGAAAAAAGCCCCAATCACCATTTTCGTGATCGGGGCTTTTTTGCGGAAAAGACTACTGTGCTGTCTACACTGGCCCTTTTCTGGAACAGTTTTCCGGAAAAAGGACTTTTGCCCGAGCGGGAACAGCATAGTTTTTCCGGAAAAGCAGCTGATTTCTTACAGTAGACCGTCAATGCTTTTCCGGAAATTCAAGAGGCCAGTGTAGACAGCTCGCAGCTTATTCCGGAAAAGCGGCTGATTTTTCGGAATAAGTGGCCCAGTGTAGACACAGCCTAGATGTTAGGCAGAAAGCAATTGAGATAACCAGGGAGATATGGACAGGAGATTGCTGTGTGTTTGATGTGGAAATGAAGATACTTGACTAGCCTCATACTAATCATGTGAAGTTTTGCTTCTCTTTTAATCTTGTTAACTTGGCTTTCTTTTGACTGTATAAATCAAGGAGTTTGAACCTTGTATGGGACTCACATTTTCTGGGTGAATTAGCAGAGCAGTTTTGCTAATAAACATAGCGGTCTGACAAATTTGAGAGTCCTGTCTAATTTTGACAGCATGCATCAATTTAGTAGTTAGAAGGCTGTATTTATCACTCACTCTTTGGTCAGAAGTGGGCAGGATTTGAGCAGGAAGCGTGACAGGGCAGAGTCCTGGTAAATGAGATCAGGAGGAGCAGTTGGACTCTTTAGATTCAGACAGCGAACGATGACATAGAGAACAGCGGCGACTGCAGCCAGCTTCACACCATCAAACACTGCTGGCAGCTCGGGGGTTTCCAGCATTGTACTCATTTTAAATCTAGAAACAAAGAAGAAAGTTTAAGCCTTTTGCAACATTGACACATTTTACACAGCAAGTCAAGCTACACAGAATCACACAGATAACACCATAAGGAATGCTTCACTGCACAAATAAATACTCCCACGACAGGATCATCTCAAAATAAGCCACATATGGGCTTGTCGTGCATAAAGGGTCACTCATGTAGCTCTGGTATAGACAAGAGGATCAGTCAGGGAGGAAGTTTTATTCCTACTGAGTGTTGCATTATGAGTTTAGTAATGTGGGTCTCTTCAACATCAAATACTGCCAAGATCCTGAAATCAGAGTTGACTGCAATGTCTCCAAAGAATGCCCAACACAACTGAAGATGGGCGAGGTAGCACACTATGTAAAGAAATGAGAAATGAGTTAAAAGAGTTTGGGCTGACAAACCAAGAGGGGAACCAGAAGATGTAGGAAAAGATCAGGAAAAGGCAATTTCTCCTCATAGTAGGGGAAGCCATAGTTCCTCACAAAGTCCCTATAACTGTAATACCACTGTATCACTCCACACTTGTCTGGAAATGGCTAATGAGATGAGGAAAGTTAACTTGGTAGGCCATAGCTGAGGGGAATTTGATGGACTAAAATAATGCCCTTCATGAGGACAGAGCCCATTGGAACATGAAGGGCCAGGATAAAAACCAGCAAGCTGGAAACAGAAAGGAACTGCAGGGAAGTAGTCTGCAGACACTCCCTGAGGGAAAGGAAATGTGTTTGGACAAAGTTTTCTAATCTATAGTAGGAACACTGGAAGCTCTCTAAAAACAGTGCAGCCACTGGTGGCCAAACTGTGGCCCCACCCATTCCTTCCCTAGAGGCCCCGCCCCTGCTCGCTCTACTCTGCCCACTCCTCTTCCCCCCTTATGACCATAAAAAGCATAAAGGGCATAGCCTTCCAAATTTAAAAGTGATGGGGCCATGGCTACCTGACCCTCCTTGTTCGAGCACCCTGGGAGGACAGAGTTTGGGCTGACACACCCGGCGGGGCGGGGGGGTAGCAGGAATAGAAGACATAGGAAAGGCTCAGGAAAAGGCAGCAGGGTTTAGGCTAGTGCAGATCTTGGTCCTGCCACTGATCCTGCTGCGGTTATGGGGTCCCACTCCCTGTCCAATAGTGGCCAGGGTTCCCAGCACAGCTGGCCACTGCTAGTGTTAACTTGCAAGGGCTGGTTAACATCTCTAATCATCAGACATGTCCAGAAGGAAATACTCTAGCTGTGAGTGGACTCAAGGGCAGTCTAAATCCTTCTGCTTGCTTGAGGATAAGAATATTGGAATCTGTGTTTGGTACTGGGTAACTATTCTTTCCAAATATCAAACACCCCAGAGGAGCAGTCTGCATAAGTGGATTTAGAGATAAGTTTGACATGATGACATTGCCATGAAATAGATTCCAAGTAAAGTCCTTTTCACAGAGCTACACGATTATTTACTTTAACCTATCATGTTATCTGAACACTCCTTATCATGGCCCAGGAACACAAGGAATACCAGACTGGATCAGACCAGAGTCTGTCAAATCCAGTAATTTAACAGTGCCAAAACCACAGACTTCAGAGGCAGTGCAAAGAAACCATGCAGTGGACAGTTATGGAATAATCTGCCTCTCAGCATCAAATAGCCCAGCTATATAAAGTAACTGAATTTGTTGTTTTTCCACTTAAGCTTATTGTATTTCTGCAACAAAGACAAGATTAGGGTTAAAAAATCCAGAGCTCTACATGAACTTCTTGACAAGATTATGTAAAGAAACAAAAGAATCCTAAAGTCCTTCCCTCTGTATGACAGAAGTTATGATAGTCTCCAATTTGGCCTGACCTCTGCTCCAGAAGCAGAAATGCAAGTCTGCCTCTATCTAGAAATCATAGAAATGCAGAATTGGAATGGATCTTGATAAAAGGTCTCCAGGTAACTACTGTTCTGTTAAAGCAATCCATTGCCACAGCTAAGTGATCAATTTTTCTTTAGCCCTTCTCTCCCCATGCCAAATAAGAATTCATTCAAGTAAATGAGAGAAAGATTTACCAGAAAGATTTGCTGCTTGTTCTTCAGAGTAAGAAGTATTCTGTCCTCAAAGGATCTGAGTTTTACTGTTCGGATCGATGGTCTAGTAGAATTACCCTAAAAATAAAACCACAAAGATCACATTAATGCCACTTCCAGTAGAGAGATGTGCAGCTTAATAGAAATTACTGTGTAGCAGTCTTACTGCAGACAGGAATATCTGCAAGCCAAAACGATAATGGTAATTAACTTGTGTATGAAAATCATGGTAACACAGTGTACTCTTTGATACATCTGCTTCATGGAAGCCTTTTGTCAAATACAGATTAGTTTAGCAGGTCTACTCTGCATAGCAATTCTTGACTGCATAACTTAAGTATTTTTGCTGCAAAAGACAGAGTCCCCCTTTCATTGCAGCACTGTGAAATTCACACATGCTGTAAATAAAAGTAAGCCTAGCAAATGAGAACTCAGGACATGAAAGAAGTGATACTGTGCAAACATCATAGATATCTCCCAGGATTTCCTGCCTTTGCATGGGTCTACCAGGTCTCTTCTCAGCTTTCTGTAAACCATGCAGCACCAGCACTATGGAAGTGCTAAGCCGTCACACTGAAAAAATAATTTCCATTGCTTTAACACAGGCTTAGCCAAGAGAATTCTGATGGAAAGAAGCTCATTTACAAACTGTTTGACTTCCACACTTCTGGCATCACGTTATAACAGATCACTCTTTAGCAAGACTGTGCCAGTAATCAGGAGGTTCAGACATTACCCACTTAATTAACACTTAATTGTACATGTGTGCCAACACTCATGGCAAAAACTCATGCCATGACACTGCATTAAGGCAAGTGAAATGGATATAGCTTCAGAGACCAGTCACTTACACTTCACTATGAGCTCTTCCAATCCCCTATAGACATACTAACACTAATTTGGAATACAACTTCTGAAGATAATTGCAGCTCTGCATTCTCCCCTTCATGACTCCACTCAGCATCTCTGCATGTATTTTAGAGAACATTCTATTAGCCAGGCTCTCCACTGCTTCAATCAATAATATTTGTCTTTACAGGAAAGTTCCTAAGATTGTATGCTTCCTATCTTCTCAAAGGAAATTCAGCATGCTTTTGACCAATTATTAACAAGTTAGCATATTAGAAGCCATATGTCGTAACTAGCCATTATGTTCACATCCACAATCAACACAAATAAGAATTTTTGTTCTGCCTTTTCCTCAGAAAATATTCAGCAAAGAGGGTATATGCCAAAAGCTGAAAGGCCACCCAAAGGAATTTTTGATCATTTGGAAGGAAGTCCTAAGAAGCATGATTTGACAGAGACCATGAACTTAGGGCTGTGGTGTCCAACATGCTAGCCACTAGTCACATGTGGCTATTTGGCCAGTTGAGTGTGGCTAGTTGGCTTGAACAATGTGGCTATTTGGATGACAGAGTGTGACTAGTTAACTACAGCAGTAGCCAGTGACTACTGCTTCAGAACTGGTTGGAAATCATGGACTTCAGGTCTCCTTATTTAGCACCTGTGAAGGTAATCTAATCCCCTTTGAGACAACATTACTCCAAGCACATTAGCTGCTGTTAATGTGCATTAGCAGAGCCCCCCAGACAGACAGTGGCAGGCTAGATTCATTCCCAGCTTGTAGTGAAAAGGTTGTGCAGACAAGCCCTATTAGGGCAAACTGAACAAATGAAAGGTGTAGCATACAATTCAGTGCTGAAAGACCACTCACAGTTTTGTGCCAAAATTAGAGCTCAAAGGAAGAGCATATTAAAAGACAGATTCCCCCCCAGCACCATCTCCGCGGTGCTGCCTGTCCCCACCACAACCCACCCCCGCACTGCTACCTCTATCAGGCTTTTACTATATTTAAAATTCAGAGCCACAACAGTGGTAGCTACTGAACCTGGCGTAAGCCGGGCTTGCTCAGTCCTGGCTCGCACCAGGTCTGGGACCTACCCCCGCTGCGCCTCCACAGTTTAAATGTAGTAGGAGCCGGGCTGTCTGCACTCCCAGCTCTTACTACATTTAAACTGCAGAGCCACACTGGGTGTAGCTTTTGGACCCGGCACGAGCTGGGACTGAATAAGCCTTCCCCTATCGACCACACAATTAGTACCCACCACTTAACATCCTTATTCCAAATCTGAAGTTTTCATAACCCATTTGAGAGAATCTCTATAATATTCACTGCTGCTCCAATTAACTTTTCACAAAGCAGCCTAGCAAAGGCCTGCTTGTCAAAAAGAAATATGGCAATTTCAGTACATATAACCACAGGGTGTACAAGTCAGAAGTACACTCATACAAAACCATTGGGGCTCTGTTATTGCCTTGATAAAGAGTGTCAGCTGGATTCATTTAATCTCAAAGCAAAGAAACCCAAGAACATTCCAAGCCTTCCCTGTTTGCTCCCACTACTCAAAATGCAAACATGTTTATGAAATAACAGGGAATGAGGCAGACCAAGCTAAATCATATGGAAACTATGGATGTAATAGTGTAGTCGATTAACCAATAAGCAAAGGCTTATAGATTAATGCTAGACTACATACTTCCCCCCCCTTCCCTTGCCAATACATTTTTAAGCAATCTGGCCAGCAGCCTGGCTCAGTCCTGGTTCACACTGGATCTGGGACCTACTCCCACTGTAGCTCTGCATTTAAAGTGTATTAGAACCCAGGTGACCAAGTAGCATGGCTCAGTTCCTTCTCAGGCCGGGTCCAGGAGCTCAGCCCCCCACCTTCTCCGGACAGGGGCTGCTGCCACCCCACGCTGCTGCCTCTGTATCAGAGGCAGCCGCATGAGACGACAGCCAGCTGGTCTGTGAGGGGAGATGGTTTTTAAACCGTCTCCCCTTGCAGACCAGCTCCCAACTGGCACCCTGCACTGCTGCTTCTCTAACAGAGGCAGCAGCGCAGAGTGGCAGGGGGCTCCTTGGGAGTGGGGCCAGACCGCACTGGTTGCCAGCCCTACCCCCGGGGACTATAGAATAGTCAACTAACCAATAAGAATTCATGAGATTAATCGACTATTCAATTAACCGACATTTAACACCCCTAATGGAAACTGCATTCAGAAATATATTCAGTATTACTCACAAGTAACATTGATCAAGGCTAGGTATAGAATCATTGTAATGCATTTTGCCACAGTAAGGTACATCAGCCTGGTCAGATCTCAGAATATGGAGAATATCTTGTCTAAAACAATGATTAGGCTGGGAAACAAAATCTCTTGGGTACAACTGATGTGCCATAGTGCAGACATAGCTGAAGTCCTTTATGCATGTATCTGAAAAGACGAGTCTGTCACTCTGCTTCAAGATAATAGTAGGTTGATTCATCAGATTAAAGCAGAACCAAGGCCCTGCCCCCATTTAATTGGCAACACTGTAAACAGAGAATCCTTTGTGTGCTGGAACCCCAAGAACTAACCTCCACATATTTGTCCTTATTCTGTAGGGTAACTGCAACATGAATATTTCATGAATTATGGTAAAGAACTTGTTTAAACAGGAAACAAACCTAAAAAACCCAGGCAAACTTGTAGGTCTCAACAATTTATGTGGAAGAAAAATGACCAACCCCCTCCTTCAGCAAGTGTGCAATACTGTGTAGCAAGTTATTTACCTAACATACTAACACTGCAGTGAAGTTACATGATGCACAACGGAAATACACAAATCTCAGAACATTTACAACAGCGCTTCCTTACTGCACAGTCTCGTCAATGCTTCAGGAAAGCCCTGGGCAGGATGTTGCTGGCGCCAAGTCATAGCTAAATGAAACAACAGAAAGTTGTAATCTGATATTTTAGGCCTATTAAAACAGGACCTATTTAACTACCTATCTATGAGACCTGTCAGGTTCCCTCACAGTATTAAAAAAAAAAAATCACAGCCATACTGTCCAAGCTTTATGTATAAATTACTGAGCCCTCCTGGTAGAGAGTCCAAGGATTCTTCTCTCTACACAGTCAAAGTTCCCACATCAGAACTGTTTTCAGCCAAGAAGACTGGGAACAGGACACATCAGAAGTCAGCTGCAGGAGTTGCTACTGAGCAAGAAATATACATTGTCCCATTCCGGGCTGAGCACTCACCACAATTATCTCTGTAAAGTAAAGAAGAGACAAAGTCCAATGAATAGGTCAGCCTCAAATATTATAAAATACAGCAGAGTAAAAGTTACAAGTACTGCTATATTGCAACCCCGGAGGGAAGGGGCCTTCAGGACAGGAGGTTGAAGGAAACTGTGATAGGACAGTACCTATAAGAAACATAAGTGTAGGACGGAACGTGGGAGGCTCAAGGCAGGGAGTTGGGGAATGTCAAGTTGGGGGCGGCTCAAGGCAGAGGGTGGAGATGTTGGGAGGCAAAGTCAGGATTGGGGTGTGGGAGGCAACAGCATGGGGGGCTGGCTCCATCAAAACTAGTTCCCGCCTCTCTCCCTTTCCTCCCTGCTGCCTCTGATACAGAGGCAACAGCACAGAGGGGCAGGTAGCTCTGCGGTAGCTGGGACATGTGGGAAGCCGGCTTTTAGCTGGCTCTCCATGAATACAGGCTCCTGCCTACCCTCTCCCCGCACCGGTGCTTCTGTCGGGGGCAGCAACCGCAAAGGGTGGTGGGAAAAGGATGCTCCATAGGAGCTGGCACATGGGAGAAGCTGTCTTAAAAGTCAGCTCCTGCTTCCCTTCCCCTTCTCTGTGCTGCTGCCTCTGATACAGAGGCAGTGGGGGAGGGGCCTGCATGTAACCATGAGGATTAACAGATGAGCTTAGGCTCATCGGTTAACCATGTACACAGATACACATTCACATCCCTACATTTTAGATTTACAGCAGCTGGTGAGGCTTATTTTAACATTTATGTAATGTTTTACAACACAAATACAGGCAGTCCCCGGGTTACGTACAAGATAGGGACTGTAGGTTTGTTCTTAAGTTGAATCTGTATGTAAGTCGGAACTGGCGTCCACATTCAGACACTGCTGAAACTGACCGCCAGTTCTGACTTACATACAGAATCAACTTAAGAACCCCAGGCGTCCCCAAGTCAGCTGCTGCTGAAACTGATCAGCAGCTGATTCCAGGAAGCCCGGGGCAGAGCAACTCTGCCTCGGGCTTCCTGTAGTCAGCGCTGGTCAGTTTCAGC